TGAACCGCCGAACTGCAGCTAGCAGTCAGCTGAAGTGGCCTGCAGTACTGCACTCTACCCACTGCGCCACCTCGGCTCTTTTCTAAGATTTTCCAAGCTAGGTAACATCATCAGTGCTTGCTTACTTTCATCTGACAAATTGCCCACTGCTAACAGTTTCGAGGCACCGTTGTTTTGGATCCACCCAGCATTCTACAAACTTCCAGCATTTGCCATTCAAAGACATTCATCAAGGAAGAGAAATGCAAAACTTAATCTGACATTCCCCGGCCTCTATTAGACTACAACTACAATCATCCACAGCCACTCATCCTGAAATGATCCTGCTTGAGCATGGGGTTGGACTAGACTCTAAGATTCCTTCCAACTCCAATTGTTCTGTTCTGTTTTGTCATTGTCATGGCAGGAACTGTAGTACTAAATATATTAAAATCAAAACTGAGCTGCTTCTGCTTTTCCATTTAATCTGTGATAATCTGATAAGAACCAGCAGAGATGACAATCGGGGGGTGAGGGATAATCACTCCATCCCCTTCTTTCTTGTTTCAACCACATATGGTGAAATATGTGATTGCATGTGAGACTAAAGAATAAAGTGAGAAGTTTCCAGAGCAGCCCATTTTTATGAGGATCTACCAGGCAATGATTTCTGTGCTGGATGCAAGAAGAAAGGATTAATTCTCTTCCTTGTTCACATAACATGAATGATCAGGCTAAGTGAGTTTAGCTCCAAGCACCCCTAAGGCTTCCTTGGGCTCACCCCTTAAAACTCCAGCACTGGAATTATTATAATAAAAACTGGGTTATTATGTTCATATATCATGGTACTTGTCTCCAGATTAGAATGTTGTACAAACAAGTTCTTTATTTCTCTCTGTCAGGCCTTTTTCTTTTTGGAAATAGAGATAACAGCTGTATCTTGTTTCATACACGGTGCAGATACCACTTCTCAGATCCCTGGGGAAGATGTTTATTTTAAAAATAAAGAAATATTTATGGGGATAGACAAGGAAAAAAAATGAAAATTAGAAGGGGTGCAAAGCTAGGTGACCAGAGGTTCTGGCAATGAGATTGAGATGGGAAAGAAAGAAAAATGAGAGGTAGTTAAGGAAGATCAACAAAGATAAAAAAATCAGTAGAATGAGAGTTGGGAAATAGAGAGCAAGTATGGATGGCTTTAGTTTGATGAAGCATCCAGTGGGAAGACAGCAGAATAGATGGCTAGCCGATGAAAAAGCTGGAACAAGTTGAGTAAAGAAAGAAGAACATTAAAGAGACAGAGGTGGAAAACATCATGAAATCTGAAGTGGTTGATTGGGAAGTAATGAAAAAGAAAAGTGCCATGAGGGAACAAAATGCCAAGGTTGCCCTGGACATCTTCCTGGGCAGTCGCTTGAACTCTTTGACAGCACTTTTCCTGCTCCTTGATTAAATTGTCATTATTGTTTCATAATTGCTTCAAGGTCCAGAAAGAGTCTGGGCAAATCAAGTTCTTCCTTCTGACACAGTGGATTTAGCTAAACCTGTCTATGGGTTAGGGCCGTGATAGTGAACCTGTGGCATGTATGCCAGAGGTGGCACACAATGCCCTGTCTGAAGACATACGAGCCATCACACCAATTCAGCTCTGCCATGCCTGTGCGCATGCCTCCCACCAGTCAGCTAGCCTTTGGGTGACTGCTGCGCATTCGTAGGGGCATGATGGGTGGGGCATGGGGTGTGTGCATGCATGCATGGGAGTAAGAACCCATGTGAGGGCTGCACATGCATGTATGGTGCATGTGCCAGGCACGTGTGTGAGTGTGCGGGGGGGGCAGGGCATGTGCATTGCATTTCGCAGGTTCGTGTGCTTTGGGCGCTTAATCCGGAAAAGGTTAGCCATCATGGGGTTAGGGTTATAGTTGCGGTTTTTAAAAAAAAGGAATAAGTGGGAATAGGAAGTGCCAGTTTGCGAGCCTCTTTTGCATCACCTGAGAG